ATTGGCGAGATATGGCAAAGGGATGGCGAAAACTGGTAGAGAATCGCCAGGTATGCTCTGCAATGGCCGGACCTTGCGGGGCGCCTGAACACTGACCGTCGGTCCTGGCTGAGCATCGGATCATTAGTTACCATAACGTAGAGGGCGTATGGCCGACAATGTACGTTTACGACTGCGCCAATGAACATCAATGGTAGGTAACTCGTGAGGATCCTGCCATGGAAGGACACACCCAAACCACGATATGGTCTGTCACGGACGTTGGACAGACGCCCCTTTTTGCCGCCCATTCCCTTCCCTTTGACGCCCACCTTCCATTTCCGGACCGTTTCCTTTCCTAGCTCATCCCAGTTTGGACACTGTAGATACGTTCCCACAGCCGCATGCTACGTTCCCGTGATTGCCATGCCCTTACCTTTTCTTTCTCGCCCTTTGTTCTCCCTTTGTCATCTTTACTGCCTCGCTCTTGCGCCTTGTCCTTGGTTGCTAAGCAGCCCCTCTAGTATATAAGGACCCCCCTAGGCGCTCCCTAGTCCCCATCTCGACCTCTTGGTCATTGGGACTAGGTGAGTGACTATAGCGTTGTATCTCTCTTCGATTGCTAATGTATAACTTGGTCATTGGGACTAGTCTGTCGCTGTCTGCGTGAAGACTAGCTTTCGCAGGTCTCGTGCCCTTGTGCCGACCTCCGCTCTGCCCTCGTCGAGTTTCTTGTTACGTTTATCCCTCTTTATCTCCCTCTTCCCCTTTCGGCTCCTTGCTGCTCGCCTACGAGGGCGTCGTCGAACGTCGACCCGAGTCTACGCGCCTAGTCGCCGCGACATGGTCGTTGAATGCACATATGTGAGAGATATTAGCTGATAGTTTGGATCGCACGCCGGTGGACATTTGTCTTATCCATAGCACATGATCATTGGAAGCAGGTAGAATACATTGAGGACTACTAGTACGCAACATGGAGATACCTATTAGGCACGCCGAGAACACAAAATCAGGCTGGGTTAGTAAAGCCACTTACCAACTCAGCAAGAGCAAAAACGAACCTTTGAGACATGTACACGACAATGTAAGGGTACAAGAGACCTACCGAAGAACATGGGTGACATACACATAGGATGAGGCGGAAGATCGGTGCCAAACTCATTGCTGAGTAGTCGAACCGGTCCTCGAGTGTTGAAAGGTGGCAGACACCACCAGATGCAGAGAGCAGCGTCTGTGCATGAGCGGCCACAGCTCTGTTGGTGTGAACTGAGAGAGGTAGTAATGGTGAACGTTGAGGGCAGAGGAAGGGACGGGGATGTAGCGTCGAGAGGCGTAGAGTTTTAACAATCATAGTTTAGGACAGGGCTCGTGGGACGGGGCCCATCGAGTGCGTCTCAAGCCAGAAGCACATGTGCATCCCATCTACAAGAGATCTGAGCAAATCATCAGCAGAATTAACGTAGAAAGAAGGCGGGGTGAGGATCGTGAAGGAAAGCAAGACACATTGCCACGTATGCGTTGAAATAGACACCCTCTTTGACAGTCAGCACTTTCCATGTCGGGGTCAACGAGAGTCGCTCCCGTCTGTTCCCTCGACCCATGCCCTCTCTCCCTGACTTATCCTCAATCGCTCCAAGCAGCGACTAGTAGCAGCTGTCTATTCCGCGCACACCGTAGTCCTATGAATAGTGCAACCAGGATCTTGCGAGTCTCAAGGCCTCGCATATGCTTTGTGATTATCGTGTACACTGCCGAGGGCTTTGCCCGTACGACTGATACGGTGTTGGACATAGCGGGGACGTTGATAGGGAGCGTGTCGGATAGCAAGGGATGCTGAGTCGTTGTATCGCTTGTTCGGCGCCGCGCACCCGTCCTTCGTGAATAGACCTTCGTTGTCTACCTATGAGTAGCTACCGGCACTGGCGATCCGGAGCTGGGCGGTCGACTTGTCGCGCTTGTTACGAGAGCGGGTCCCGAGGCGGGCCTGCTCCTCGGTGATCTGCTTCTCGAGCTCGGCGATAGTGTTGACGCCTGGTGCTTGGTCGCGAGGTGTACACCTTTCGGTGGAATCCGGATCATGCACAAGAATGGTGTCTCGCACTTGACTGCTAGTAGCGACTTGGACATAGCATACATATATCCGCATCTTGTCTAATGAAAAGTAAATGGTATCAAGTAATAGCGCAAGATACATACCTAACTACCATTGCCGGGATCCATCCGCACAGATGCGAGATGGCCAGATTTCGTCAGGCGAGATGGGAGTTGGCCAGTATTAGGCGGTGCTTGCGGTTTCTGGAAGGGGCAGGCCAGTTTCGGGCGCCGTGGCCATGCGAGACCATGGTTTGCTAGTTTTGCTGATGCTCCGGGAGTCCGAGCTGTCCTTGCGTGCGCGCCTGCATGCTTATCTCCCGCCATCTTTGAGCTGCGCTGAGCCTACTCTGCACTACTTATGATATCTGCAAGCAGTCAATCCCCCTGTAATCCTCTGTCTCTGTTATAGGCAATGCACTGTGACTTCTCTTTGTGTGCGCAACCCGATAACATAATGCGTCTGAATTCAGGAGTGTGATGCACCTATTGCCGTGTCCACCGATGCCCGTCACCTTGGGCTTGTACCCCTTCGAGGTTTCCTTCTCTTCTATGGGAGTATCATCACTCAGATCTGCACTCTGTCCAGCACCAGAGTAATATCACCAGCGGTGGTTGAACTCCTGTCAATTCCATCACAGGTTGTAGCGGGTAATTTCGAGGGGAGCGGGCATCATGAGAAGAGGCATCCTTAGCAATGATATCATGCATCTCTCGCAGGGTGCTCTACAATACGTGTGGACGAGCGCGCACCACACAAGGGGTTCACGGTCAGTAGCTCGAGCGACTGCATGGTCGTCTACAGCAGGCCGCCACATCGCACACTGAGGGCGACCTCCGGCTTTCTCGGACTGCCCCAAATGGGTGTCGATATGTCACACAGGTCACCGAGCGGGGAGTCACGGGGGTAAAGCCACCAGACGTTCGAGTGTCCGGATGCCCCCGATTTTTCGCATCCGCTTCACACTCCGAACGTCTGGTCACGAGACTAGGACAAGGACAGCTCGAAAGTAGCATGCCGGAGATTAGCCTCGAGGCGCAAATCATATAGATCACCTACGTGGTCGGCAAATCAGAGACTCCGCTTGGATTCCGCGATTGGTGGGGGTCTCGGAGCGTCCATGTCGACTGATCGCTGAGACTTGCTTTGATCCCTCCATGATCGTGACCTTCCTATACTTACAAGTGCCACAGATGCTCCGCTGCTATCATAGCCGTGATCCGCCTCCGGTGAAGTAGACAAGACCAACCTGGATCCCACTCTGTTTTGAACAGATCTCGACCGAGGTCTGCCAGGCGCCTGAATGAAACGGGCGTCAATGCTCTCTTTACCAGCGTCTAGATCTTAATAAGAGTGTTTTTCATCACACAAAAAGCAGAAACATATACGGTTGATATATAAAACTCATTACGGTCAGTCTTTGTCATATCCGATGAAACTCTCTTTGCGTCGTTTGTGCCGGCTTTCTCTCGAAGCTACACATGTTAATCATCGTACACAGGCTGGAGACCACTTTGGAGAGCTGCTAATCACACACAAGGATGACGCGTGGAGAGGTGAGTACCCTATAAGCATGCCTCCTGCTCATCGGTACGGATGTTCCAGATAGATGTTTCTAGACGGAACGCGTGTTACATGCGCGCAGCAACGAGGTGCGGTTCACCTGCGGCCCCTCATGTACCCACATCACGGCAGCCCCAGACAAGACGTCTAAGCCAAGCTCGCCATGCTACGTGCTAACGTCGGTTCAAATATAACGGCAGCAGATGCTCGGTCATCATGGCTTTGTTCCTGAGCTGCCTTTCGTTGATGATGCACGTCCTTGATCTGAAATACCTTGTTCTCGGTTTGGATGGCGCTCTGCGCTCTACCGTATGAGCTTCCATCTCATGACAATCGCTGTCCACCGGTAACAATACATCGGTGATTGATCCCCGCCAAATCCGGGCGACGCCATTTATGTACTTTTATCCAGGACGGGACCATCACAAACATGGTGATAGTCATGACCGCGGATTATGTGTTGAAAGTAGGTGTCAGGACTCTGCCTCGCAAAGGCACCTCAACAAGCCTCTCACGTTACCGGGAACCTCAGGTTCAGCAAGCGACTTGTCTTCGGTATTCCAGCAGTCGAAAAACCATTCAGAACGTTTGGAACAGTCAGTCCGCTCTTGGACGGCGGCCAACTACCGAATCATCCGTGGACTCATTTATCACTAGTGTCGCGTGCTAGATATCTGAACGGTGATCTGGGCTGGAAGCCTCGAGCGATGTCCTCAAGCACGGCGACTGCGTTACATTCCTTCAATTCGTCGCATTAACTTCATCACAGAAGCCTCGAGGATGGCCTGAGGGCGGGAGCAACCGCGTTCTTGTGATGTTGTGTCATATCCGATGAACGATGCGCCCGGTTGGCACTGGAGCTACACTCAGTACGAGCATTCCTGCAACCTCCTCAAGGAATACCACATTACTGCGGCGGGAGGTCACCAGTTCAGACTCTGCGGCGGAAGCAGGTACGCGGATTGGGCGCTCGATGGCCTCTCGCGCCGGCTCCAGGATCTGGACCTTCGGGCAGCAGGTAGGGGTACGGGTGATACCCGCTACCGGAGTGTTTGCGTTATACCTAACGTGCAACGCCTCTACGGAACCTGATCAGCTTGCGTGGGACAGTATTTGAGGGTGCAGGCCGGATGTGCTTGTTTAGCGGACTCTCTGGCGCGCCACGAGTGGCGGGCGCTCGTCATTCGGTCAATTGTGCCACTGGCGGCAAATCCTCGAGGCTCGCCCTTCCCCGCCTTCTCAACCCTCCCGCGCGGAGACAGAGATGGAAGTCGGTACCAGGGAGTAAGTTCTGACGAAATTGGTAGGGGCGCTCGGTTTAATATGCTCTCCGTGTGGTTTACTACCGGGTGCCGGCCGACACTGGCACACCGCCTACTATCTACAATCTAGAGCTTGTCTGCGCGCAGGCAGACGGCCTCCCATTTAAGTACTCTCCCTGGCGAACGTATCTCGAGTCAGATATCCCCCCTTCCCAGATCTACACTTCACTCCACATACCTCACTCGGTGCCTGCACAATGCGTCAGTCTGGCTACTCCGCCCACGACGACGATAGCAAACGATCGGCCCGTTCCTCGACGGCTTTTGACATGGACTTTGGAATCGTGAATCCTTCGGCCACATATGACGATCCTGCGTCTTGGTGCCACCCCAGCGCCACGTCCAACAGGGTGGCACAGAGTCATATCTCCAATCTGGCGAGCTCGCAAGAGCACGTTGTCTCACCACAGCGTGACCACTCTCACGTCTACTCTTCTCAACCACCCTACTATAACGTGTACGTACCTCTCTCTCGATAAACAATTTCCAAAGTACATATTGAACTGATTCCCACCCATCCCCTCCTAGCCCCCCTGATCGTGCTCAACAACATAGTGGGCCTCACGCTACAACTTCCTACGACATCCCCAACCATTATCGTGCCCTCCAAGAATCCTCTGTGCATAGGAGTTTGCATGTGCGCACCGACGCTTCAGTCCATACACCATCCGGGACCTTCCTACCACGACAGGATACTTCTTCGCTCGGTATCGCGCCCTTGTGAGTACATGTTTGCATCTCCACTTCGATTGGTACTCAGGGCTACTACAGATCTGAAGCCGCTGTTCAACAGTACGTGTCGCCTCATGCTCGGTATACCCACGACACTGCAAATACTCAGGATATCCCCGCACTACGTAACGTACCCCACTCAACCACAATGCCATACCTTCCCGTCCATCCCTCTTCCGCGTCGACATCGGCATACTCGTCTCAGGCCGTTCCCTCCCATATCGTCACACGGAACTCACCCACCCTACGCCATATGCCTGGACAAGACTATGGTTTCCCTAATCCCGGCTTCTCGCATGACACGCATCAGCAGCCATCAACCGGCCATAGTACAGCCGACAGGTATTACTCGACCGGAACTTCCCCATCTCAGCGGTCGCAGCATCCCCGCCATCGGTATGGTAGCTCCCCATACCCCTCGCCGACATCAACCTCCTCCCAGTCCTCGTCGGTATTCGCTTCCTCTCCTGAGACTTCGTCCGTCCCTTTGGTAGACGTACACCCCCTCTCGCTCTCGAGTTCCTCCCGCGCCTCCTCTTCCGCCGCGTCCTCTCCTACCTCCGAAACGGACACGTTACAGCCCTCGTCGTCCGCCCGCACCGCTTCCTCCGCGTCCGGCTCGAGGAGCGCCGACCGCTTCCCGTGCCCCTACTGCCCAGGAGACCGCTCGTTCAGCCGCACGAAGGACCTCGAGCGACACATCCAGTCCATCCACTTCCGCGACCCCGACGCGCCCGAGTGGATTTGCTGCGGAGTCCCGCTCTCCGAGGCCGACCGCTGGAACCTCCCTGAGTGGGTCCGCCGCGAGCCTCCGTACATGCTGAACGGCATCCCCATGGTCGGCGGATGCAAGGAGCAGTGCTCGCGCAAGGACGTGCTGAAGCGGCACCTCCGGAAGAACGAGAAGCGGTGCTTTGGGAGCGAGAGCGCGCCGTGGCTGCCCGGCAACCAGAAACATAAGAGGCCGCCGCGAGGCGGGGGGAACTCGGGCGGTAGCAGCAGCGGCGCGGCAGGTCGCGCCTGAGTGCGGGTAGTCGTCCACTGTGGCGTACCATGACACCATCAAAACGACAATGTCGAGACGTCTCTCTGATGTTCCATATTACGTGCGGGTCTCTGTGCCTCGCCCTTCGCAATGACATCTTCCCATATGACGGACAATTTGCCTACACCTTGCATTTGGTAACTCCCGCCCTCCTTTGCGGTCCATGTATCGTTAAATCTTCTTCGATTCACCCGCTGTAGTATCTTCCGCTCGCGGACCGATTGTTATCACAGCTACTGGCCAGCGCGTGTGCAAGTCCCAGATCACCTCCAACTCCGCCGCCTCGTGGTGGTCTTGTCTTGTACTGACAGAACGGTCTTCGGTGGTCTTCGGTGACGCAACCACTGGCACCACAAACCTGCGATCAACTCATGACCACCAACACTATCGTCGGTCCTGTCCAAGGCCCTGCCGCGTGTACGATACCAGAGTACGTGCCACTCCGAGGGTGGTCAGGGGTGGTCGGAGTGGCACGTTTGTGCCTTCTCTCCTAGCAAGTGTCCGGTTGGATCGCACAGTGTACGCCGAGGCGCACTCCCCGCTGCGCTGAACAGGATGGCTGTGGCTAGATGGAGACTTAAGAACAAGGTCAGGCTGTCGAGATGTGCTCACGAGATCCTGGAATGGGACAACTGCCTTAGAGAGCAGCGGCCACGTTGCCCGTTGGCTCCGGATGGCCCTCCCGCGAAAGCTCCGATCAGCATGCATTGTCGCCCACGCACAGCACGTCCTTCATTACACGTAACACAATTCGCCATATCGCGCGACCCCATTTTTTCCGTCTGAATCCGCTGCACAACAGATCAGACAGCGGTCGGGTGTACTAACTCTCGGTGACGACTTAGACCACGACTTGCCAATCACCATTGAGACATCCTCATGTTCCACTAACGGACCGGATCCACTACCGCCACCAGGCCCCTGCGTCGATTATAACCCGTTCGATTGCTACTTCAGTCTTCCGCGACTATGTGCCACGATGTGGCGCGTATATTCGAATCCTGGATAGATTGCCAACGGAGAAGACCCACAGTGAACACCAAAAGTAAACATCCCGGTATAAACAGAAGACACAGGCATACAAATCTGTACCCGAGTCCCCTCGCCAACAGCAATGAAGCCCCGTCAATGAACCCGCAACGAGTCGCCAAGTGCGTAACCTCCCCATATTACGAGCGTCTGTACGTGTATGCGATCCAGCAAGTGTCCATTGGAAAGCAGAAGCGTCCGCCTCCTCCCTAGCGCGCCTGCAACTCCTGCAGACGACGGAAGAGGAGCGGGTCTCGTTATGGTCGTGACGTGCAACGTTTACAGCGCGAACGCGAACGTGAACGCAGCGAGCCCCATCGCGATGCCCGCACGGACGGCGTAGCTGTCGGAGCCGAGTAAGCTCGCCGCACCGTTGCCTGCTGAACCAGTCGTGTTCTGCTGGGCGGCGGAGGTGTTCGTGTTCGCGCTCGAGCTCGCCGAAGGTGCCGCGGGGGCGGTCACAAACTTGGAAGAGGTGCTCGGTGCAGCGGAGGTCGTAGCAACAACCGAGGTCGTAGCGGCAGCGGCAGTGGTCCCAGCCACAGCGGTGTTGGAGGCGGCAGTGCCCACGTTAGTCGTAGCAGCAGCACCGGAGGATGCGATGTAGTTGGGGGCCGCGACGGCAGTGGAGGGGTCGACGAGCGCGCCGACACCCCAGGGGATGGACTGGCCGTCGGGCTGGGTCTGGTTTGTCGGGGCCGTGGTGGAGCCATCCGCGCCAGCGATTGTGAAGCGGGTGGTCCAAGTGAGGTTCGAGGGGGCTGAAGGGGTGGAGAACTGGTAGAAGTAGATGGCAGAGTTGGGCGTCACCTACACAAACAAGCCGAGTAAGTACGAAGACTGGAGAAGCAGCGCGCCGGAAGCGCGGGGCGGTCCCCGTTGTTTGCCATGTCCTTGGCTGAGAAGGAATGTGCGGTAGCGTAGCTTATGAGACGAGGCTTGCTACGCATCACTACGACATTGGATGCGGGTGAGCAAGGCCACGAGCTTCTTGCCGACCATGCATCCATGATACCAGCAAGGGAGCTCCTCCGTGATCCAAGCATATATACAGCTCGAATCTCTGCCACGAGCTTCAGATTAAGCACTGACCTCGGGACAGTTGTACGAGAAGGTGGCCTTGGTGGCGTCTGTGCCGTCAATGTTCGTGGCAACAGCTGTAGGACGAGCACGCATGAGCAGTAGGCCGAGAAGCGAGGACGGGAGGCGCACTAGTGATGTGGCTCATTTGCCAGTTGTCACCCGACATTAGCTCGACATTCATTTGCTTCCAGACGCCAGTAGTGTCGGGAGTCCAAGTGAATGTGCATTGACCGCCCTGCTTGAAGACGTCGCCCGGACCAGGAGCAGTCGGAACAACTTCGGCGCGCGCGAACGCGGCGTTGGCAATGAGGGCAGCGAGAGCAGCGTATGCAAACATCGTATAGATTTTGTGAGGGTTTGGAGACGTAGAAGATTGGTTTAGACTGCGAAAACGGATGCCAAAAGTGTCAGTATGACGCTTCTGGTTTGGACGCAGTAGAATTTACTGTTGAGGGTGTATGGCCGAGCGAGCAAAAGAGCGAGCTGGTAAAGGAGAGTGAGGTACAAGGACCGGAGAGCTGGAGACAGCAGGAGTCTCCGTCGACGAGGACGAGGACGAAGACGAGGAGATGGAGGGAAGGGGGCCAGGCAAGGCCGCCTCCAAACCTTCACAGCAGGCACAGGCGCCTATACCGTGTCAGTCTGTCACATGCTGCCAGTCCAATGCGGCAGCTGCCACGTTCCTGCCTGCTTCTTCTCCCATGTCCTCCGCCCTCGCCGGCTCCCTCCCTCTTTCCATCATGTTTGTTGCAGATGGTTTGCTGTATCCCTCCAAGCGCTGCAAGAGTGGCTAACCAATGTGATCGTTCCTTATGGGGCCCGCAGTCTGATACATCAAATTCTCCGTATCGGAGCTGGCGACACGTAATTATAATGGTCTACCATCGAGAACGGGACCGACGACATCTCAAGGGCTTGTGTCACGTACGTATACGGCATCCGACAGTCTAGAGCATGCGACCCAGTCCATTCGCGGATGGAACTGGTACTGATTTGAGTCAGGGTACTTATGTTTTATTCGGCCTCCGCGCGAGCAAGCCAAGTAGAGGAAACGGAAACGATTGTCCTATTACTGGACGTGTTCGATGGGGTCGCTTAGTCCCAATATCCACCTCCAGGAGAACATACTTCGAAGAAGTATGTGCGCATCGGTTCTGCCGTATGTATGTGATCGGGGAGGCGGAGATGCACTTCGCTCTCCCACTGAACATCTACTCCCTCCTTCATCCAGGGTCTGCCCCCTTGAAAGTCATCTCAGCGCATGCTCAACGAAGGTCGATCGAAATACTCAGCCCCAAAGATTGAAATTCTCTGGCCTCCATGAACGTGATCGGGCTTGCAAACGAGTAAGCCACCACCAAGTGCAGAGCGCAGGCGGCCAAGTGCTCACCACACGGACAAGATCCCACGAATCGTCTGGAGGTTCCGGAAAGTGTCGTTGATTCTCCAGCCCCTCCGCGTTTGAAACACTCCAAGTGGTTTTCCGTGTAGTCGGCCACGTCCTTCACGGTGAGTGGCTTGTCCAAGCTGAGAAATCCGTCAGTACTGGTACTCGATAGCAGAAGAGCGTGGCCGAGGTAGGCGAGCATACCTGTTATGAAGCAGATTGAGGACGTCATACACTGTGATTGGGGCGCTCGAGCACGATGTGGGCACGATTTGGCATGGCATGTTCCATGTGATTGGACTGGGCAAGAACATGTTCGAGCACGGCGTGGCCGTCGCGAAGCTTCGTGCCGCGATGGGATGCTCTATGATACAAGCGCATTGTCACCCCGTCCATCCGAGTCATCATCTCGGTGAAGAAATGCGTTTGAGTACACCGTGCCCCCTTCCTCGGTAGGAAGCCGACGTGGTAGAGGACAGGGTTGAGTTCGAAGCTGGCCTCGCCTTTGTGGTGGCTATGGTCGACACGTACCCACAGGCAGCCTTCCAGAACTCGTCCGGATGTCCATCCCAGTCGTACAGGACTGGCGCACCGCGGGGTCCCATGGCTCAAGATAACTTCTCACAGCCAGCATGAGTTCTGTGGGGAGGTCAAAGAACATGGTAGGCATAGAAATGATATCCGCCAGAATGCAAGGGTTGATTTCGGGAAACAGATGGGGTCGCGTTCGAAGCCAAGACTCAAGACAGGGGAACTCAACATCGGCGCCTTTGAACCTCAGCCATCATCCGAGTCACAATCTCATAAGGTATTTCAAGGTCGCCGGCTTCCGAACGGGAGGGAGGGAGCCACGTCCCTACATAAAAATCAAAACTTAGCTCTATATCGTCTTTCCTGGTTCCATAGAGCGAAGAACAATGCCGCAGCGGGGCGACACTTTGGTCCCCTTCCATAGCACTCTTCCACGGTCTCTCGCAAGTACGCGTCATGTTTCTCCCTGCCGAAAGGCCCGCGTAGAGCGACAAATATTCTTCAGAATTCACGACGGGGAAGAGAGAGTTCCTACGCCGGTGCGATTGATTGTCATGCAACCCCTACCCGGAAGACATGGTCCATAGCGTCCTGCCTCCAGCTACACACCCTCCCTTGTCGTAACGCGGGAAACATCTGGGCATGTACTCTGATGTCATTGAAAATTCAGATTCGCGTATCTTTCGTGGGGTAAGACATACCGCGCATGTCCCGCTATATCGACGTATTCTCTTTGTTGCTGGTTCAATGAGCTCAGCGTAGTGCCAACAATGCGTCCATCATTTGGCGAGATAAGACGACGTACTTGATAACCCCAACGCTCTATCCGACAATACTGCAGGCAGTGTTCCTAATACCGTATAGATCAACGAAGGCTGAACGAAAATGTAAGTTCTACGAGTTCCAAAGACCGGATCGGGCTAACAATCCCAAATGACATGTTCAGCGTCCGGAGGGGATCCATGACCGTGACCTACCAGACTGATAGAACGTCGCGGGTGGTCCGAAGATTCTCAGAAGCATTGGCAACATCCCAGCCATTCCACTCAGCGCATCTCCAGTGGAACTCGAGGTGATTGGCCACATCCGTCGCGGGGAGACGTTTGTCCAAGCTTGCTGCTCGATCAGCAATCGAGAAATAGTAATTGTTGGACGAAAGGCGCAAGGTAAATAGGCGTACCTCTTGCGGATCATCGCGAGGACGTCATATACGGTGACCGGCCTTTCGAGTTCGAGCGCGTATTCGTCTGGAAGGTCCTCTGTCACCACGCCTAGGAGTAAGATGACTGAGATTGGCGTGGCAGTCGCAAAGCTGCGTGCTGCAATAGGATGTTCCCCGATGTAGGCCCGCTCGGACACGTCACAGTCCAAGTCGTCGCTCCGATGCAAGTATGCGTCCTCCTCTAGTGGGTAAGTCTCTTGTCGGAATTCCGTACTCGGCCGGAACCGGACATTGCTAAGAACAGGGTTGGGCGTGAGATTCGCATCTGTATAAGGCCCCTCATCAAAGGTCATTGCAGAGCACTCCTCGACGTAATCTTCGTTCTCTTGAATGTGCTCGCCTACAAGATAGAGAGAGCGTTAGCCTAAGACAGGCTCCTCAAATTCAGAGACGTAGGACATACGGTTATGCTTGAGGAGCGCCTCGCCGCAATATGGATGCCTACAGAATCCGCAGCTTTGAATGCACTCCAGTGCGATACCTAGCCATGAAGGTTCTCCTTCATCCTGATCCACATCTGTGGGAAAACTGGCCAATCCCATTATGCCAGCAAGCCAATTTCCAGAACTTGTCTGGGTCTTCTTCCCAGTCGTACAGGACAACGAACCGAGAGTCTGCAAGGTAGAGACAGACGATAGTTCGAAGGTCCCATGGCTCAAGATAGCTCTTGATCATCAGCCAGAGTTCCGCAGGCAGGTCGAAGAGAGTGACAGGCATTTTCCAGCACATGACAGAATAGGTACGCAATGCTTTTTGGAGACAGGACACCAAGCAGCTACTAGAGTAACAGTGGAGAGAAGCGATGATAATCAGGGAGCGCGAAGCGCGTAATAAGTACATGATGTAGATACAAAGCCAATTGTACAAGTAATGTAACAAACGGTCTTCAGTGTGAACACAAATAGAGGATAACAAAGATAAGGTAAACACCTAGTTTTACAGAATCCGAATAGGTATGTGTCTGCATGGTCATGCTGACCTTCGACCGCTGCTGTCTGGGACCCACACGCTCGGAACGCGGTATCGACGCACAGCACTTTGGAGAATATGCACACCCATTTGCAGAAGATGGGCACCAAAACAGCGTGCAAGAATCAGCCGACACGGGCAGTGAGCTACTTACTTTTGAAGGGCAACATGACAAACGTGGACTTCGCGAAACTTCGGTCTAGAACGACAGCCGCTCAGTGGTTGTAGTGGCTATAGTGTACGCGGCAGAATGCTGCCATTCTCAGTCTGCCGCTGCCATTCTGCCAGTGGCAATTGCCGTTCTGCCAGCGGGCCTGCACTGGCAAATATTGGCAGATATAATTAGCGCTCATACCGGAAAATGGTCGTAGGGGTGGTTCCCGCGGGCTTCTGATGCCTGGGTACTCATACAGAAGCCCTGTAAAGGTACTATTATGTGACGGCTTCCACAGGATTGCGTTCTGTGGGCTCAGGGCGATACTGATTGCTCTGATCTTGTTTTCTGGTGAAAGTGTGACCGGCGCTAGAACAATGAGGAGCAGCCTACGCCGCTCTTCATGCACTACACCCCTTCAGAAAGCTTTGAAGCCTCATCTGAGGCTTACTGGTAAGCTGAAAACGTTTTCAGGTACTCCCTAAGGCACTCTGATGAATGTATGTCAAGAGGAACTCACTCCAGACTCGATGTCTCTCCACGGAGGCGCTTAAATATTTGCCAGTTTCTGCCGACCATGGCAATTGCCATTTCTGCCATATTTGCCGGCAGAATAGCCCAAAACATTTCTGCCATGTACACTAAGTGGCTAGTAGTACCTATAGTGTACAGGGCAGAATAGATTCGGCCTCCTGCAAATGGCAGAATGACAAAACGGCAGTTGCCAGGGCCGGCAAATATTGGCAGATTGGCACGCGCTACTGGGGAGCCTCGGGCGAGGAAAAGTGGGTAGAGTAAGCCAAAGAGGCCACTGAGTATCATCCTGGGCTCTGAAGTTAAGACCAGGACCTGGATTTTACGTATATGATGTTGTTCGTCCACTCCCCGCAACAGAGTACAGTTACAGGAGCGACTTCACAAAGTTAGCCAAGAATTCCGGCCGATCGGTCAAGCACTGGGATAGCCTCCTAAGCCTAGCCTCCCCATGTGGAACCTCCCAAACACTCATTCATGATACAAATTTCTAGGAGGAAACCCTCTCTCTCGCGTTGTGTGGAAGGACACTGCAGCTAGTCCGTCTCTGGTCGACCGGCGACGGTCCCATATACAGCAAGCGCCCGACAAGCGCCCTGTATCTGCCACCAACTGGCGGTCTTGGTGGCCGGCAAAATGGCATTTGCCTCTGGCAGAATGGCAGCGTTCTGCCAAGAACACTAAGTACCTACGATACAGAAAAAAGGTCGATCAAGAGCCCGATATGCTGCTACTCGGCGGCTAACATCAATCTTAAGCTAGTGAGACTCTATGTACTGCATACACCACTCATTGTTCCTCCACATAAACGGGATAGAGAAGAGAAAGTGGGATATCTTCTATTCTGTACAACTAGCTACCACTGCGACAATCTACGACATGTCCCTTCAAAAAAGCACCGCAGGATGGGACATCCGGGCTCCCATCCAATCCCGACAAGAAGGGGGAGCGACCAGCTCCGACAGCCGGCTCGCCCGCCATACTGCCGCCTCCTCCGACTCCCCATCATACGTCCGCACGAGGCCGCCCTCGCCGTCGTATTTGCGCACCCCGCCGCACGTGCACGCCAACGCGCCATCTCCGGCCTCCCTCCCGACGAGCAGTCGACGAAGGGGGCAGCCGGCGCGCGCGCGCTCCGCCGCCAGGCGGAGGAGGTACGTCTCGTCCTCGTTGGACTGTGCCCCACACACGAGGGTGGTCAGCCGAGGACAATGAACCACGCCCGAGAGGCCCTTGGACGATGGTGTCGAGGAGGCTCCAAGAGCTCCAACGACATCCTTCGCGCAGGGTGCAGGCGCGAGCGACGTGCCACGCCCCAGGCGGACAACGAGCACCTCGACGCGCGGAAGGGCGTCAAAGACGTCCTCAGGCCAGCCGAAAGCGGATCGTCCGTCTACGTACAACTCCTGCACGTCTTGGAAGATAGGCTGCCGCAACGAATCGAGGAAGTGGAGCAGGAAGCCGTCCTCGTACTCATGCGTTGGCAGCGCCACGTCGACACGAGCACAATGAGCCGTCTCGGCGTCGGCGAGTATCAGGGAACGGCGGTGACGCCTCGTACCGTGCCCCACCCAGACCTCGGAGTGCTCGACGCACAGACGCGTCGCCCTCCTCAACGGGCCGAGCAACCCCAAACACCGGCCAAGTTCGGACGGCTGCAGCTCGCCGAGCTCCACAGTACAAGAATCGTCGATACTGATGCGCTGCACGAGGGCGTCCAGGAAGGGCACGACCTGAAGCCCCAGCGGCTCGCCCTCGCGCTCGTCCTGCGCCTCGGAGACGCACAGCCTTTCCAGGCGATCCAGACGGACACACTGTCGGCCCTCAGGAACCTCAACTTCCCCCCTCGCCATCTCGACCCCAGAACCGGCCAGACGGTACAGGTGCAGCTCGCGCAGCAGGGGGCTGCCTGCCAAGAAGTCCAGCAGGTCGCCGACGGAATAGGTGGCGCCCGATGCCAAGCGCGCGGGCTTCGAGATCATGAGGTGCGTGAGCGAAGGAAGGGAAGCGGAGGGGAGGAAGCAGACGCCGTGCAGAACGAGCGACCGCAGCCGGACGCTCTCTCCCGCGAAGAGTGGAGACCGGGGCGCGAAGACGCCGCTCGAGACGCCTCGTACGATACAGTGCTCGAGGTAGGGGAGGTTCGTCTTGGCGAGCGCGGCGAGGGTAGGAGAGCCGAACGCGTAGAAGTGCCGCACGCGCTCTGCGTGGCTCTGCAGGAGGTCGACGGTAGAGTCGGAGACGATGTTGTCGCAGAAGACGCTGATAGGCCCGCCGGTGTATCGAGCGCTCAGACAACGGCCACGAGCGGTTCGGGGCGAGCGCGAGTCGTAGATGGTCGACCAGAGCGAGGGGGTTGCGTGCGCGACCTGTCGCCACCGGCGGCATACGGCAGTTAGAGGGACTGCGTCGCGGACATCGACGGTATGAAAGAATCCAAATGATGCGATGTCGGAGGTGTCCGCTGCTTCTCGCGGTACCAGCGCGAAGATGTCGGAGAGGATCTCGTTCGGGAGCTGATCTATGGGCGCCGACGCGTTCTTCAGACTCCTGACGATGGACACGCTTTCGTTGAGAATGTCGCCCAAAGACTGTAGCTGGTCAACACGATGGGCGTAGGCTCTGTTGACTGATCCGAGCCATGAACTCACCACTGAAAGAGCTGTCGAGCTGTCGAGGATGGAGCATTCTTAGCGCAAACCAGCCATACCAAACTAGAATGGACATACCTCCGTCCTGCCCCAAACGAGTCGCAATGCTGAACCAGCTCGGCACGTAGCACCTGAGCAAGTGCCAACGCACGAGCACCCGAATCAAGCCCCGCCAAACCACCAATGTCAGAAAGCTGCAAGCTGGCGAGCGGAGCCATAGAACGAAGTATATCAAACCTGTGCGACAGCCCCAACCATCCCAAGTAGTAGATATAAAGACCACTTGCCTCACACCCCACGAAAGCATACGAGCGCTCCGCGCATCAGAAAGGCACTAGGATTATTGGCAGCTGCACGATCGTCCTGCACCAGGAACTGCACCTACGCCGCCCAATCGCGAGGAATGATTGGAACGCGCCAATTTGTGAGCGGCGTGGGCGCTGTTCGCGCTTTGGTAGGTTTAAGTACCGAGCTGCACGCTGGACGCCATCTAAGGCCAGCCAGGCACCAAAACGGGTAACCGCTGTGGGTCAAAACTCAGAGCGAGAGACGGAACGCGATGACAGCGATAGTAGTAGTATAGAAAGTCCACCAAAAATACAGCGGCTGGCTGCGACAATGCACCGGGCGTCTAAGTAGGCTGGTCACTCGACGATGTTCAGTTCCCGCAGCCTCGTCTTCGCGAACTCGTCCTTGTAGGTGTTCCAGATCCTGCAGGGCCCCGCGATGCGCAGTGTGAGCGATCTGCCAGCAGCGGCGATAGGGCGACAGGGCGATAGAACGACAGGACGGCGGGGCGAAGAGGGGCGCGCGACGTACCGCATGAGCTCGTCTATGTACTGCTGCTGCACGTGTATGACCTCCTCCAGCGTCGGCTTATCGCACTGCACCACGTGTATTGGCTGGCCGACTGTGGATGGCATGAGTGTCCGTGCTGCAAAGCCACCTTGGGGCAATCCCACTTACTGACTGCGACGATTCGTCTTCGGTATGGCATCAAGCCCAAGTTGTCTAGTGAATTTGACATATCAGTGAACCCTCCCCACGCACGGTGACAGGATCGGGTCGGCGTACAATTTAGCAGTCCCCTGCCATGGAACAGCGGGAGCGTGAACCCGAACACGTTCTGGAACTTCTTCTGCAGCGTATACAGCGTCGTGCCCTTGTCGTTGGGCATCTGCTGGAAAATCTGCGAAACAGACGTGCGTCAGGGCCTGCGCAGTCCCCCTCGTCGACTCGAAGCCCATCTACGTACGTCGTTCTCCCCAAACGAGAACACGGGAACCAGGTCGGCTCTGTGGTCAGTTAGCACCGTCGACAGCGACCACCCGCGAACGCCCGCGAGACGGCAACGCACCCATGCTGTATCGCGATCTTGATGAACCCTAGCCTTTACCCCAATAGTCACAGCGCGTCAGCCCCGTTCCTCCGCTGCGTGCACGCGCGCGAGTGCTGCAACACACATGCGTGCTCACCTCTTCCTCAGCGTCAGATCCGCCGTCCCCGGATGCGCAGACAAGCTCTCCGCTGCGCCCCCGACGACGATCGTGATCGCCTGGCCCGGGCCACCTTTCAGGATATTCGAGCACGACTGCTTCGAGACGGAGCAGACGCCCATGGCGAGGATGATGTCGCGGTAGAACGGCACCCGGAAGTTCGATGCTAGTGTCAGCAGGTGCGGAACGATCCCCGGGAACGCGGCCGAGAAGCCTGTGCCTGTATGGGTGAGGGCGCTGAGTTGGAGGGGGGGTGACATGAGGTAGGGGGTCGGGGAACGTACTTTCGGTCGCGAATGTGCAGATTGCACCCCTGCGGTACGAGAATTCGGTCGGGATGAGGCGGGGTCGCGAGTAGAGCGGACGGGAGGGCTTACATTCCGATGATGCCTGCGCCGCGGATCCCAAAGTCAACAAGACTACGCGATTACGTGCGGGGACATACACTTACCATGAGGGTGGTATCCGAACACGTACGGCCTATCCGGCGGGAGGTCGCACGTCTGGACGAAAGCATGGACTGAGCATCTCCATCCCACCGCCTACGTCATGTCCCTGGCAATCAGACTGACCTTCAAGAACCTGCCCGCGAGGGCGCGTCAGTGAACGCAAAGCACAGCCAGTACAAACTAGGATGCAGAGTACGCAAGACACTCACGACGCGGGGTAGTAATCTGCAAAATATCTCCAGAACCGGAGCGAGCGAAACCACGGGCTCAGCCGCCCGCCGTGCTCCGGGCTCTTGTCGACGTACGCGATCCATATCCAATATGCAGCGAGTAATGGCCATAATGGCGGAAAGGAGCTGAGTGTGAAGGGCGCCTCGTGAGTCTCTGGGACGGGGAAGACGTGCCTGTGAACAGGGAAGAGGCGTACTCACAGGAGGAGAAAGAACGCGAACGCGCACCAGATGATCGTCGTCGACCATATCGCGACCGCCAACGTCTGCAGCCTGCGTTTCCTCGGGATTTTTGATGGCACGAACCTGCCCCCCGTCTATCAGCGATGACCGTCCATGATCCTTAGGATACCAGACGCTATGCATGGAAGCCGAAGAACAGTGACAGGCCAGACGGATTTGGGCGCGTACGACGTTAATCCCAACCTGCGTAAGGCACTCGACCACGAGAAGAACAAAAGAGCAAGCGGAAAAGAGGAACAAGCACGACACGCACTCGATCTGAGCATGGAGGTTCGCGACCGGGTTGAGTGGGGTCGCGGTGAGGCTACTGAGCGAGCTGAGCCGCTCGCGGAGGGACGTGGAGGAGACGGTGCGCGTCATGGACGTGAACGTCTTGTGCACTTCCATCTTGCTTGGAGCGTCGTGGCCCGTACGCGTGGCCTGCGAGTGTCGCGAATGAGGCCGGCTTCGGACCTTGGAGCAGGGAAGGACGGTTGGGAGATGGAGAGGGCGCTGAGAGAGAAAGCTCAAAGTTCAGAGTACAGACGGGCGCGTTATGTCAGGAAACGAGGAGCAGGGAATGAAGGGAACGACAAGGAGCGGAGAAAGACGGAGGGATGGACAGCGGGCGTGGCCGACGGCGAAAGGGGAAGGACCAAGGTGAGGCGGGACGAGGGACAGGCTCACTTCGCTGACACCCCGCGCGCGTCCTCCCCTATGCCGTCACTCCTCCACATCTGTCAGTCGAGAACAAGAACGAGATGCAATTCGCCGAGTGATATACTACAGATTGGCCATACGTAGACGATCTAGTATTTTGCACATGCGCAGGCACAACTACACAGCTCCAAGCCAAGACAATCCATCATCACACAATACACAACGCAACCGACTGCCGATCGACAAGGAGAAAGCCACGGCGAAGAAGACGATAGGACAACACCGAGCAGCTCATGCGTAGAGGTCGTCGTCCTGAGTGTCCTCGCCGAACCCAGCGTTCGCCGCCGCCACCGCGGGCGCCGAGCCCGGTGCTGGTGCGTTGCCCTCGGGGAACTTAAACGTGTTGCCGAAAGAACGTGATTGTTGCAAATTTTGCGCGAACATCTCGTACCGCCGAATGTCGGCGTCCGAGACGGAGCGGCGGGCAAAGCGCATCGCCTCTTCGAAGTGTTCCCTATCAATATCAACGCGATGTCAGAATCAATAGACTCGCGGTGTCGCAAGGCGGGGAGACGGAGACGTACCTTGTGATGACGGGGACGGGGTCCTCCTCCTCTTCTTCCTCCTTCATCTCGACGTCGCCGGCCTCCTCCTTCTCCCTCTTCTCACGCGCCCTCCGGATGTCCGCCTCGATACTCTCACGAATCGCAAGCTTCGCGGCGCGTTGGCAGATCTCCGTCAGATCAGCACCGGAGAACCCGTGCGTGTGCTTGGCGAGGAAATTCAAGTCAACGTCGGGCGCAACGGGTGACTTCCTTAGCGCTGCCTTGAGGATCGACAAACGTGAAGGTTCGTCAGGCAGAGGGATGTAGATCAGTTGATCAAGACGACCGGGGCGGAGAAGCGCGGGGTCTATCTGGTCGGGCCTGTTGGTTGCACCGATGATGAACACGTTCTTCTTCACGTTCATCCCATCCATCTCGGTGAGGATCTGGTTGAGCACTCGGTCGCCAGCACCTCCGGCATCCCCTGACGAGCCACCACGAGCCTTGGCGATCGAGTCCAACTCGTCAAAGAACATAACGCAGGGAGCTGCCGCACGCGCCTTGTCGAAGACGTCACGGACGTTGGCCTCAGACTCACCGAACCACATGGTGAGCAGTTCGGGTCCCTTGATCGAGATGAAGTTGGCCTGCGTCTCGTTCGCGATGGCCTTCGCGAGCAACGTCTTACCCGTACCCGGAGGACCGTAGAAGAGGACACCCTTTGACGGCGACATACCATACTTGATGAACTTTTCGGGATGCTCGACGGGGTACTGGACGGTCTCCTGCAGCTCCTGCTTGACCTTGTCGAGACCGCCGACATCCTCCCACTTGACGGTGGGAACCTCGACGACGGTCTCACGAAGCGCAGAGGGGTTCGAGGTGCCGAGCGCGAAGCGGAAGTTATCCATTGTGACGCCGAGGGAGTCGAGGACTTCCGCGTCAATGGTATCCTCGTCCAGATCGATGAGGTCCATTTTCTCGCGGATCTGCTGCATGGCAGCTTCTGAGCAGAGAGCAGCAAGGTCAGAGCCAACGTAACCGTGCGTGTCGGCGGCAATCTTGTACGCATATAATTAGCGGATATAAGACAGATGGGTATATAAATGGGCTAACCTGCTCCAAGTCAACGTCGTCGGCGAGCTTCATATTCTTCGTGTGGATACGGAGGATCTCGAGACGGCCAGTCGGGTCGGGAATACCGATGTCCACCTCACGGTCAAAGCGACCGAAGCGACGAAGGGCAGGGTCGATTGAGTTCGGACGGTTAGTCGCGGCCATCACGACGACGTTCGAACGCGCCTTAAGACCATCCATAAGGGTAAGCAGTTGCGACACAACACGCCGCTCGACCTCTCCATTCGTCTTCTCACGCTTGGGAGCAATGGAGTCGATTTCGTCGATGAAGATGATAGCTGGCGAGTTCTTCTCCGCCTCTTCAAACGCCTTCCGGAGGTTAGACTCCGATTCTCCCGCCATCTTCGACATAATCTCCGGACCATTGATGAGGAAGAAGAATGCGCCGGTCTCGTTCGCAACAGCTCGCGCCATTAGGGTCTTACCGGTACCAGGGGGACCGTACATGAGAATACCGCGAGGGGGCTTGATACCGATAGACTTGAACAGTTGAGGATGGCGAAGGGGGAGCTCGACAAGCTCACGAATCTGGGCCATTTGCTTGCGGCAACCACCGATGTCGTCGTAGCCGACTTCATTCAAATTCGCTTCCTCCTCCTCGCGCTTGATAGCGTCACCCTCTGTAGGAAGGGCGTCAAATTGCGGTGCCGATAGGACGAAACACGAGACTCACCTGTATGGATGACGGTGTCTTGAGCCACGATACAGTACTCAGCGGGATCGGTATCCACGACCTTAAACTCGACTGTCCGCATACCACCACGGACGAGGAAAGTGTCACCTTTCCTGACGGGACGATACGCTGTGACATAGCGTGTGAGCATGAAGACGGTGGGTCTCGATCAAACGATAACTGACCTTCCAGGAAGTAAGGCTTGAGGTATACCTCGAAGATGTTACCGGAAAGACCCTCGATGGAGTCGTCGAAGGGGAGAATGTGTACACGTTGTCCGTATTTGATATCCAGACAGGCGTGAACATTAACAACGTCCCCGAGCTTGACACGAAGGTTGTTACGAGCGACCTTGTTCATTTGAATCTTGCCCTCTTCGACGGTGTCAGAGCTCAAGCAAATGAGCACGGTATCATGCCGCCTCTTCCCCCTATTCAGGAGATCAGCAAAACGCAAGAAGGACTGAGTAAGCTGTAGACATACCGGACGATGATGGTATCTCCGCGAAAGAGCTGGAGAGCCTCCATGGTGGCAGGGTTCAGGGTCGCAACTGCAATCTCCGTCAGCCTTTCTTGTGTAAAGCCACTGAACGCAATGGACACGCACCAGAGTTGTCATCCGAAGTCGCCTCGTCGACAACAAGCCGGTTAGGCCTGCAGAAGATGAATTAGGATAGCTCGAGTCCGCCACATTCAAGATACGCACGATTTCTTCGGCTTCAAGATCGCCGTAGCAGTGTCTGGGTTCTGGTCGGCCATGTCTTTCAGGATCGTGGAGTATGTGGTGGAAAGAGTGAAGGAAGCAAGACAAGAGGGAGCTTATGAGGGATCTGGAGACAAGGACGACGCGCGTCCCATTACTGAACTCGACGCGTCACTCCCCTGCCCCCGTGGGAACGCCGGCGGGCTTCCGGACCATTCCAGTACCTTCTCACGCCCCATATTTGGGAGCCACTGTGGCTTCATCGCCGACAACTGGCCACTGCTGACTGAGAAGCGCTCTTCAAGCCCTTGACACATTCCCGCTTCAATGATGCTGCGGTAGTCACGACGTCTTGCAGTGGAATGCTCTTACATTCTGACCGAGCAGAGATAGCTCGCGAGACCGCAAACATATTGGCGATATCCGGTCTCTATTTAATAAGAAGCAGCTCCGATATCTCTTCTACAAGGAGCAATCAACTCGTTGTTCTCACTCATGTCCTGCTCAAGTTTTGGCGATGTAAAGTCGTACCAGACAGAGAACGTCTTCCGTTTGCCTCTCCACCCTGTCCCTTTCGCCTCAGTCCCCATCGACGCCCGACGCAGTAAGTACTACGCCTCGAGTCAAACCATTCTGCTAGTGGACGCCTGGGTACAACACATCAACCCGCGTTGGTCGCCGGAACTAATCCCATTTTGTGCTCAAAACTCTAGCTTAACGATGAGTCGGATGGTATATGAACGTTACATTGAAGTGGAATATCTCACGCCGGATTTGACCGGAATAGTGGAGTACAAGTACATGTCAGAATAACCACAAGTGTGGTCGACTACAACGTCTGAGAACTCAGAATTAGCCCTCAGGCGAACATACAAAACGGTTGGACGTGCACAGCTCACCTCAAATCTCTTCATCGTCGTCAAAGTTGATCTCCTCCACTGGGAAGTCCCCCACTTTCACCCGCTCGGGCTTCACGAAAACGCCAAAGTTGGGCTGGCATTCAAAATATCTCTTCCCTTGGACACTGATCGAAGGTGTCAATTGACTCGATTCCCGTCGGAGCGGTCTCTGGCACACTCACGATCCGTCGTTCTTCCCCAACGGCTCGTCGTACTCCACGCCCACCCAGATGCCCTTCGCGAACTCCGTTGGCCCCACATACCGCACAGTCCCGCGCTTCTTGAAGTCTTCCACGGACGTCTCGACTTCGCAGCGTGCGCCGACGGGTATGTCTACGTTCTGCGTCTCGACAGGCTCTTCTGATTTCCTGTCCGAGAATCGCCCGATCTTGTTTCGCTGCTTGTATGCAAGGACGGTATCTGTATTGTGTTGAGCATTGCGCTGGGGAGCAACTCATCGGGACACACCTTGTCTCTGGGCATACTCTGTCTCGCTCAACTCAAACTTATCTACTTGGGACGTGTCCGTTAGTTGCCCAGTGAAGGATGTTGTAGGATCCAGGTCTGTGACCTGGACCGTACGGGTGGGGTCGGCGTTAGAGTAAAACACGAAGATCTAGGGGACGTACCTTCAGGGTCTGCCAATCCTGCACACCATAAAACCCAAGCGGTCGATTATCGTCCGAGAGAACCGCAAGAGGCTCCGTCGCATCCTCTGAAGCCAAGACGGATATAGACTGGTTATGAGGTGGAATGCCGGTGATCAACTCGAGCTTGTTCTGTGACGCATTTGAATACAGCGATCAGCGGGATAGCGCGACGCCTTATAGGATCAATAGGGCCGTACCTTGAGCTGCCCGACCGTCAAGCTGAGTTCATACCGCCGCTCCGACCGAGTGTCTGGAGACACGACGAAGACATGCACTGGACTAGTCATCGCGTCGTCGATCGTTCAGAAGAAACGCAAGATCAAGCGAGGCGCGGATGATACTTGCATCGGTTGTGAAGGCCTCATAATCGCGTCGCGTGGACTTTGACTTCGTTTTGGAATGGACGATAAGGTACGCGATGACGGAGTAGCGAGTCGTACGGCGAGGACTGTAACGGGTGGTCGATGGTGGATGTGCGCGACGGTCTCGTCGTCGTCGGATCGCAGCGGTCGTGCGCGTCGACGCGGGGCCGCGCCTGTGGCGAGCGGGCTCCGGTACGGCCATCATCACGTTGCCGACATGTTTACCGGCTCATCTTCCTCGTCAACCTGTTTCTTGCCTTCCAACGTGTAGTCAGGTGATAGGGAAATGTACTGCTCAGCCATCAATGGGCTACTTCGGCCAGGCTGGCGCACAGGCCGAGATGCAGCTTTGCAGATCGCACGTTCGCGCATCGCGCTCCCATGTGCTCGCTATTCCTCGTTCACGATAGAGGTACGTGACTACTAGTTGTATTCTGATACTGTTCATACACTCAGCTGACGGATGCAAGTGCCTGGGTGAAGACTCTGCAGAAGAAGTTCCGTGACCCAAGTTCTCCCTACCACATCGCGCCAGGAACACAAGGGCCCGATTCACCCGACCCGCCTGTGGAAGAGCCGCTATCGCCGGAGGAAGAGGGCCGCACAAAGCTTGCAGAGCTCGGATACGACCCAGAGAGCTTCTGGGAGCAGAAGGTGGTTTGGGGAGACCACGACGCCTTTCAGTGAGTACTACAAGACCATCCGTCGCCCTTTCACTGGCCTAACGCACTCTATTGCACAGACACGTCAACAACGTGCGGTACTGTACGCCTTGACTTCTGTCCGCTCATTTCTTTGTCTCTCACCCCACCTGCAGTACGCTTCCTCGAGTCCGGCCGCATCCATTGGATGCACGCCCTCGGCCACGAGCTCGGAGGGCCCGCCAAGGCCGAGCAAATGACCCGCGGCCAAGGCGTCTCGCTCATCCTCAAGTCCATCTCTATCGACTACAAAGCCCCCGTCACCTTCCCGGACACGCTCCTCGTCGCGCATAAGCCACACCCCGGCCCGGCCGCTCGGAACCGTGAACCTGGGACCCCTGCGCGCCCGGCTAAGACGCACTTTTTCATGGCGGGGGCGATATGGTCGTACGCGCAGCGGAGGATCGTAACGGAGAGCGACTCGGTGCTGGTGTGGTACGACTACGACCGGCTGACGAAGTGCGATCCAGGGGAGGAGGTGAAGGCGGCAATTCAGAGGAGGATGAACCTGAGGAGCGGAGAGGGTACGCATTGATCGCGGAATGCACGATGCGTTCTGGGTCATCCCATACTTGTAAGCTATGTGCTGTGGAGAACATACATGCGGAAACGGCGACTGGGCCTATTAAGTACTCGCATGCTAATCACCTTACTATATGACCGTCATGCGCTGTACACCGGCGTCGCCAGAAGACCGTGCATATCAAGCAGATACCGGACCAAGGTGCGAACTGATACCTACCAGCTATCACGGACACTTCGGTACCATCGGGGAACAGCGGGCGTATGTCGGAATTGGCTCCAGGTGAGTCCCAGCGTTTGGATGAACGTAGCCCAATGTCTCAAAGCTTCGCATATACCAGTGTTTGGCAGACTACTCGCGCTAAACGCGCCGCGAGAGTCCCTAAGTCAATGCATTCCTAGATTTTGCTACCGGAGCCAAATATCGCTGATGAGACTTCTTTCCTCTGCCCCACGGCATCGCACATAACGTCTGATCGCGAACATGGAGATTGTCCATATATGCAAGGCAGATGTCGCCTACGGTAGAGGAATACTCGACTCTTCATGGATTGGCTCCGCAGTGAGCACATCGGCGCCGAGCCCAATTTGGAAGGTATCGTGGTTGCTCGGAGACGAGCAAATATTGCTGCGGTTCAGACGTTTCGTCAAGCCACCCTGTTGTCTTGCGCCACCTTCCTTGAACACCTCATTTCCCCCCAATAATTGTAACTCCTTACGTAGGTCACATAACTAATCGGTCAGAAGACTGTAAATTCAGTGTCCTTGCGCAAAAGCTGAGTCTTGGTCATCCACAGCGAAAAGGAGTCTTTCCTGGTTATCGCACATGGCTACAGGAACACAAGAAGGCTCCCAGTCAGGTTCTCTGGTGCTGGCGCTTGCACAGACAATGCTTGGGACTGTTCAACAATGGCATGAAGCCGTCAAGGCCGGGAATAGGTAACCAGTCTGTGCTGTAGTGATGGGGAATAGTCTAACGCCTCGTTTATATCAACGCAGAATTATTGGAGCCATCGAGATAGTAGGTAGCTTGCTTCATTATCACACGTATTTCCGCTGACTGTCGTAGCTCGAAGACCTCGACGAGCTGTTGACAAGGACGACAATTGCCACCCGATGCCTTAGAAACGCTCTCTGTCCAGCGAATCACCTCCCATCCGAAGTTCTGAGGTTAATCTTCTTCTTCATTCCACGTATGTTGCCTCTCACCGATGAGCTCCGCCCTTCCTCCGACCGGCACATCCATGTCGAAGATCTTGTTCCTATCACCGCTGTTTGTCGCTACTGGAGGGATGTTGCCGTCATCACCCCTTCTCTCTGGTCCACAGTACTCTACATCTCTCCCGACTAAAACGGTCCACGAGCCATGCACGTCCACTATCTTTCCAGATGCACCAGTGGACCCTTGTACGTGTATCTCGGGAGGCCTGCAGTACTGAACGCCCTTGTAGATCACGCCTCCCGCGTTCGCGAGATCTATGTCTACGCGGCTGATGATCTCCCATGCTCACAAGAGCTCATCTCCATCACTCTCCCGAGTCTTGAACACTGTTCCGTGAAGATACTCCCGAGGATGCAGCCTCATGGCCAGCGCATCTTCGGCTCTTGTCATCGCCTACTCACCTTGCAACTATTTCGCCCTTCCTTCTTTCCCACAAATCTTTCCTCCGCTCTAACACATTTTAGGCTCGAAGGCTTGGGAGATGACTTTGAACCTTCTTTGGGGGACCTGCTTGTCTTACTGCCGCACACTCCGAGACTGGTCTCTTCGGAGCTCGACGGCCTAGAATATCGAGGGATGACCGAAGACGTGGACGGATGGGCCGGCGGAAACGTACGGCTTGACTATCTAGAGCGCCTTGTCGTGTTCGACGGGGACATCGACGATCCCGGGGGCTACTTCACCCGAACCGTCTGCCAGTTGAGGCGCGCGCTGGTAGACCACCTGACCATTCCCGACGCTTGCGCCGTGCAGATGGGTCGCCTACATCCCTCTGAGTTCCGTCATTTCTTGGATGCCACATGGGAGACCGCACGACTACCGACGTACGGCTAACCATTAAGGAGGGCAAGGATTCGTGCGCTTTCGCATTGGAATTGGCAGATGCATCGGCGTCTCGCAAAGCTGAATACGAGGTTGCGCAACCCTGTAACAGGTTCGGCAAGACGCGCAAGGATATTGCGGAGGAAATGACGTCCTTCTTGATGTCGGAAGTTGCGGTGCATCCTGTCTTGACGGCCGCCCGGACGCTCTGGATTCGATTCTCTACCTCGAGGTGGTCTCCGTTCTCGTCAGACAATAGCTTCGTTGCGGGATTCCCCCATCTCGAGGCCCTCCGGGTGGCGCAAGGTTTCGACGATGAAGTTCCTATCAGCAGCGTTCTCTCCGCTCTCGAGCCGGCCGTCGATGCAGGCGCACAATGCAACATGTGGTGCCCGATGCTAGTTGACTTGCAGATTGACTGCTCTGCTCTTATGAAGAGGAGGTCCCTTACGTGCAACATGTTGTAAAGTCTCGCGCAGAAGTCGAGCGTCCTATTTCCCGACAAGTTGCCATCGGATGTTTTGTGGATGTGGGGCCTTCTGGATGGACGATAGAGTATATATTGTGCCGGTACGACGCCAACGGAGAGCCGATGATGGGAGGAGAAGAGCGCACACTTCTCAGGGATCATCGTGTCGCTGATCCGGACATAGAGGAGGCCTGGTCAGACGCAGAATGAACGCTTGTTGACGGAGCGGTACGTTTGCAGACCTTCGAGGCTGTCCTTTTCTGATCCCTTTGGTGACGTTGCTCCCCGGTACTATGCAGGTACTCAAAAAGATCGTGGTGTTTATGCCATGTAATGCCTTGCAACTGTTGGCTGATCACGAACGATTGCTGATTTACCGTAGCGACGTTACACCAGCGTCTCGTATGGGTCTCTACCGCCGACTCGAGCGTATACCGCCGTGGCAGGAGCTTCTACATAAGGGACGCATACCCTGATGTGCATGGTGCACATAGTACTTCAGCGCGCGCTACGCAGTCCTCGGCATTCAGCGACTCGAAGCCCAACACGGAAGCGCCTTACATACCGGTCCGGACACTAGCGCCGTGCCAGCACGCTCACCCTGAGCTGAAAGCCATATCTACTGGACTCGACGCCTGTGCCCGTGCATCAAGTCTTCGTGCTTCCATAGCTCATTGCTAGTGCTGCTTCTCAAACTTTGGCCGACATCCTTTGTCCATTACATGTGACGCAGTCGGCGCTATACAGAACCTCGGCACACTAAACACCTTGGCGACTCTGGAACCACGAAGCGACTGCCAACGGCGATGCACAGAGGGCCATTCAGATAGCCTAAATTTTCTCATTGCCCTTGCGTGGGACACTGTGTTAATCACAAGGACGACACCCTCTGCATTGGCTCGAATGTGTGCGCGTCCTGCACGGGTCACTGCACCAGGTCTTCTATGACCGACGATCATCTCGCTTCCGCACGGCCTCATCATTCTCTCTGCCTGCAGATGACAATACAGACGCTCTCTGTGAATGCTGCCGAACAATACACCGTCAGGTCGCTCATATCTGGTCAGGAGACGCCCAGGCATTGGACAGGTTCTCGTACATCATGACAGTCCTCATCGTTGCATTACAGGTATCCATATCGTCACTGCAACGTTTATTGTTAGATGCGTCTCAAAAACACAGGTATAAAAGCAAGCCTACGATGGCAGAATTCATCAGACCAGCTCCCTCGAACGGCATGGCTCCCAGCTCCTGGTTCACTCTCTTGTTTGCCCTTTCCGCCATCTCCGTCGGCGTGCGAGCCGTCCCTGCCCCGCATACCCTGACAGCCCGCCAAGATGCCATCATACCCTTACCTCCAGCGGAAATCGCCGCATTCAAGCCGTATACGTGGTACGCGAGCACTGCAAACTGCAATCCCTCGTCCACCAAGGCTTGGAACTGCGGCGAAAACTGCGATGCTAACCCTACCTTCGAGCCCGTGGATTCCGGAGGAGACGGCATCTTTACTCAATTCTGTAGGCATCTTGCTATGCAGAGGGCGGTCGTCGCATTCCGTTCTTTGCTAACCCTCGACCTCCTATCAGGGTATGTCGGATATGATCCCACGCTCAACGTGGTCGTCGTTGGTCACCAGGGTACGGACGTAAGCAAGATGTACGTCACGTTCCTATAATTGCTGGAGCAGCCGTGAATCCTAGACTGTGGTGCAGCATCCCTGTTCTCATCGACTTGGATATACCCCTCGTACAACTCGATGCTGAACTGTTTCCCGGTGTCGACCCATCTGTTCGTGTCCACCAGGGCTTCGCCGGAACACAAAGCAGGCATGTCCCCCCTTGGCAATCCCATCGCACTGTCCTCATCGTCTTCCTGCAGATCGGCTCCTGGAGTACTAGCCGCTGTTGAAGAGGCGCTGTCTCTCTATCCTACCAAGAATGTCACCGTTGTGGGACACTCGCTTGGTGAGTTCTCACTCACAGCAGGGCAATCCTGTGACTTCGCTTACGCTCCGGTACAGGTGCTGCTATTGCCCTTTTGGACGCCGTGTACTTGCCCCTTCATCTGCCTTCGGACGTGAACGTTCGCTACATCGGATATGCATCGCCTCGGGTAAGGGGATCTTTTGTCAGAAGCGCGAATCGAGTTCATGTACTTCCCCAGGTCGGTGATCAAGCTTGGGCCAATTACGTCGACTCATTGCACATGAACATCACTCGCATCAACAACAAAGAAGATCCTGTACCAGTTCTCCCTCCTATCGAGATCTTCGGGTACCACCACGCCAGCGGTGAAGTTCATATCCGCGATGACGATGTTTGGGTCTCTTGCCCAGGTATGTCCATGCTTTGTCCCGTTGTAATCCCCGCGGTCCATTGATGGCAAATCTCATCAGGCCAGGATAACCCCAGTGATCAGTGCAGCACTGGCGCTGTGAACATAACAACCTTCGATGCTGCTCAGCACCCGGGCCCGTACGATGGAGTGACCATACAGTGCTAGGCGTCCAACCCCAAGTCCAAGCTGGCCGTCAAATTTGATAGCGACAAGACGCCGATGACACAACCCGCAGAGTTTGCTCAGCGGTACATGTTACGAGAGGTGTCGCAGTTAGTCTTGTAAATGTTGACTCGGACATGCATTGAACCGGACAGCGGCCGAACGATGTGAGCTTCACCCAGACAGACTCTAAAGGGAACAATTTCATTACTCAGCTTCGCCATATTGACCTTCTCCCACTCTGGGATCTGCCATTGGCTCCTCCCAGCATCTCGGTGCCCTACAGTACTGGTGTTTGTCTGGTGGAAGCGCTAGCTATGGAAGAAGGCTGAGAGTACCACGGAGATCTGACGATATGTGCAGGGTCGACTTCCAGTGCTGAGCAATGCTGCGGCAAGCCTCAGAGGCCGTCCCAACAGCGCCTCGTCCACGTACTACATCATACCCGCTGAATGAGGACGCGGCGGCATGTCATGGTTTTGGTGTGGGTGTACGTCCTGCCGAAAGAGCGTTCAGTGACTCACTTTGTCCAATAGCCGACAACGTCCGACGATTTTCTTGCATCAGCTTAGTTGGATCACTGAGCGGTACGCAGACTCGGGCGCCGTGTTCTTTAATGTGCACTCGGGCATAATGGAGGCCCACCTCTCTCTCCGAGTCCCTACTCTTCCAGAGCGCGCCACACTGCTTGCATGAGACTTGGCGTTGATGACGAGCTCAAGTTCCCTGTGGAACAATCCAGCTATGTGGTTCAAACCATCACCGCTCTATCATGATCTGGCGGAATGCGCTCCACTCTACTCGACCACCGGGACATGTTGTGGGTGATTATGCTCAACCAAGTAGCTGTTGTGGTCACAGGTACACCGTGTCATGTTTGAAAGCTTCGATGTCGGACCCGCATGTACTGGGCTCCACGCAGACTATCAGAACATGGAGAGCTAAGCATCTGTAGGCGTCCTTCCTGGATACACAGAGTGCACGCCATTGTTCTTCCTGCACATGCGGCATTGCTCCAGCAGGATGGTATCGGGTATGATTGTCCTGACGTTGCGCAAGCGAACAGCGACTGGTGATACTAGGAAGAGATGGCGATCGCGCTTTCAAAGCGTCCCCTTGGAACTCTTGGGATGTGAGGATCGGATCGCCGTTTGCTTCCAACCTCCAGCGGAGCGCGTCCAAGGGAGTCGTCTTGAGGAAGCGGTCCTCGAGTGTGTCAGGGCTGAGGATGATCGAGATGTTACTGTCGCACCGACGCATGAGTGTGGCATGTCCAGCAAGAAGGGGAACGCCAACGACGCCGTATTTGTTGGCCCCACGGTTAGCGTGTGCGCTTCTGCAGTTCTCGCTTGATAGCTCGTGAACGTGCTGGTTCGTGTAGGCTGTGACGCCCCTGTTGTCATCGTCCTGGATCCAAGACGGCACATTGAGTATCTTGACCCATATAGATCAGACCCGGTCTCGCATATCGGAGGGACAAGAAGATGCTATCATCGACAGCCCCAATGTAGCTATCAGTCGGTTGATGTTAGAAGGGTGTGTATGCGCTTCGACATGCTGGCATCATCATATACATCGACGCGCGGCACATTCTGTACATTCATGACTATGGCCCGCCTAGGTAGGCTTCTTGTTGACGTCAGCCTGCCGACAGAAAGGGAGCGTCGCCATCGTGGCAGCAAGACATACACTCTGTGCGACGAAAGCCTCTCATTCTTGTTGATGCCACCCCCGGGCCGGGAAGGCGATTTGAGTCGTCTGTCTGCAAATGCGAGGTAGTGCTGATCAATTGACGATGGCTAAGACTTGACATGACCTCTGCAACGGTAAGTAGATGGAGAGAAACGGACTACTGTTGTGCACGGCAAACGAGTCAGGGATGTTGGGTTGAGCGCGCGCCGCGGCGTATATCTGGAAAGAACGAAGTCAAGGGGAGCGAGCCCGTAACCCACACACTGTAGATCTAGCCCTGTATAATCAAGGCTAGTGCATCGTGAGTTGGTGTTCTGCTGTATAACGCATGCTTCAGCTCAGACTGAAACTTTCTAGGCGCACTTGCCGACAAATTCAATGCCAAGGGGTTCGGAGGATCGAACTTCTGCCGCATCCTACTCACGAAACCTAGGCGCGCACTGGGCAGTCCTCGGCATTCAACAGCATCGTTTGTCCATGCCTACAGCGCTTTCCAAATCACTTGTCGTTTGGGCGCCGACAAATGCGCGCGCCACACCTGCGTCCGACACCCAATGATGCTTCCCTTGTGGACCTTCGACCGACGATATCTCCTCGTCCGCTGCACCAATTCACTTGCTTCTTGCAGATTCCTACTCTTTGGGCCTCCCCGCACATGCGCATATCGAATTTGTCGCGGACTTCGATGCCCTTGTTATGCCAGACCCAATTCGCGTCTCGCGCACTGGGTCCCCCCTAAGCGCCACCTCTGAAACCTTCAATACTTGGATTGGAAAGCAGGCTTCAGGGTATGTTATCAATTCCAGCACTGCAAATAACGCATGGGACGTCCAACTTCCATTCTGTTTGCCGGTTCTTGCAACATCTCTGTGTCGACCGTGCCTCCTTTGCTTTTTATGCACGGCGACACCTGAAATTTGCATGGGAAGAGTGAGTGGCGAATGGCGCATAGTATGTAGAGCACAGTGAGTTTCTGTTTTCCACGTCTCCCCCCCTTCTATGCAGGTGTCTCATAAGCCACCCCACCATGCATCGTCAAAGTCTCCATGAATTAGCTCCAATTATGTTCCTTACCCTTGCTGTATGCCTGTGCGCGCACCCCCAATGATATCAGTGTTAACGACAGTTGTCTGTAGTAGTAACACACATCTCGGCTGGTACCCTCTCATGACTACTCCAGCAGTCCCACAACAACAATACATGTCTCTAATACTGCATAAGACTACCGGGGCATCTACAGACTGTTGTATTCACCAAGTGTGACGCCTACGAGCACACGACGAGAAAGCCTGACAGCACACAGGATGCTACCTCCAAGCCGCTTGCGTGCAGAATGCAGTTCTGAAAAGATCACAGACCTCTCACGTCCTCCCCTAAATAGAAAATACCCTCGTGAATCCGATGGTTTCCGGGAGAGTTAACCGTGCCTTTTCATGAGTCGTGTTGTCTGAACTCCAAAGAGAATGCACGAGACACAAACTGGGTCTGGTGCAACAGGGCTGTTGGATCCGGCTACGAATTCGATATGCGCATGTGCGGGGAGGCCCAAAGAGTAGGAATCTGCAAGAAGCAAGTGAATTGGTGCAGCGGACGAGGAGATATCGTCGGTCGAAGGTCCACAAGGGAAGCATCATTGGCATCAGCAAAAGTGCAAAATGGTTGGCTACGGTTGGCTCGATTGGCCATGGCACTCAAAATTGGCGTGAATTATACTTAGCCCCAATTGAAGGGGAATCAACTAACATTTGCAGGATGAATTGCCCCAAAGGTCCATGTATAGAATATCACACAGCCCTCTATGGTGCAGTTCACTTACTAGCATGACCCCAGAAGCTACGACCCATAACGTATTTCATGGATATCTCCCTCCCTTCCTCTCCAATACATTTCAGACTTCGCACACTTCACTTGCATCCTGGACAGTACATATGGGTGAAATATGAAGAAAATCGGTGGAGGTTTGCATTGAGCATCGCGGAATTACACGTCTGACCCCAGAAGCTACGGAAAAGCGCCCATAGATTGTCATGGATGGTCACAATGCCGAAGACTGCCGATTCAAACACCGCTGTTATCAGTCGTTTGATAGCGAAGTTGGCCGGGGCAACATTGTCGAAGCGCTCAGATTGAAAGTCAGCTTTATCTCGGTCAGTGGCTGAATGTCACGCTCGAGAGACCTCTTCCTATCTTTCGAATACTGCAACCCGGAACCCTTCGGAGACTGAACAAGAAAGTTTATTGAGAATGTTCAGAACACTTTGCGAAGTTACAGAAAGATCGGCGCTGCAGA